AATAACAGGCTCACCAGCATGTGAATCAGTGTAAACATCCCATAAACGAGCATTTTTTTTTGGAAATTACCTGTGACAAATAGAAAAGTGGAAGTCACTTTTTGACAGGCTTAAACAGTTTAATTATGTTTTGAAATGCTAGCGACTGTAGTAAATTGGCACACGTGGAACCAGAATATCCAAACAAGGAGCCGGCAAAAACTAAGTTCATGCATACCCTGCATTACTTGACAAGTTTTGTAATAGTATGTGATCACATTAATTAAACATAATTTAGAAATCCTGAAATCTTCTAGGTTCTTCCAAATGTCCTGTAACTGAGATCTTGATGTTCTATAGGCTCAATGTGGTTTGATACGCACGTTCCCAACTTTGTGATGCATCATGGTAAAATGTGCAACGTGAAATGGTAACAATTAGATATTTAATGCTCTCCAATCTATTCTGGAAGTTTTACAGCCTCATTATAGTCTTGAACAATATCCATAAAATCTTTATAAGTCCATGAAATGTTGCATTCATCCTGCTAGTCAGAAGAGCGGACTACCATTGGCAAAAGTGATAATCACTGGAGGGCTAAGCTCCAACCAAACAAACAAACTAAACCATTCAATTTACTTGCGAATCATTGCTATATTCTCATCGTGCCTTCCCACACGGGCATCCCAGAGTCTAAATCATTCTCCTATCTGGTTCCCTTGTGCTTATGCGACTAACAGATTTTTGGTTTGCTTAATGGCTAAATACTTCTACTCACGCACACGGACCCATGACTCGTTGTTGTTTCGGCTACGTCATCGACCGACCAAGAATGTCACCCGATCAACCATCCCGTCGACGCTCGTTCACTTGTCGGCCCGCTCCTACTTGCACCGGCCAAGTCTTCCTGCCGCACGTGAGTGCTTCCTGGCTACGCCGTCCGTGCGGCCACGCGAAGTTGGCGCATGCCTATGGAACCCAATGAGCACTCTGCTTCCGTCAATCACCGCCTTGACGAGCAGTTGACTCCCTGCTTCGGCGATGTTGTCCGACGACGTCTGCGGGCCCTTGAAACTCGTCTCTACCTGAGAATGCTGCAATAAGACCCCTTTGATGGGGTCTTCTTTGTGTCCGTGTAGCCTTTCTGGTTGTGACCACCGAGCAAGGCTGCTAGCCGGCGATCTAACACGGGTAATGTCGGTCGTATGATTTCGTCCAGTGACGATGCTTTGGTGCGTTCGGATCGTACTGCTTCCACACGTGTGCGCTTCGATTCCGTTCTTGGCGTGTTCGGCTGTCGTGCAATTCCTCCAAGTGCGGTTGGTAGAACGCCGATCGTTTGACTTCGTCCAGTGACGGTACTTCCGCTTGCCTCTGTGGAACGGGTTGCCACCACCCACGTTGCAATCCGAGTCACCGGTCGTTTTTCCTCTGGCCGAACTGCTCTTAAAAGCAATGTTGACTGTGTGGTGTGATTTCCAACGTTTGGCCTAGTCCCTTGGCGGTTCTTTCGCTCGTTCCTACGGAACGTGTTGATTCCCTGTAAGCCGAAATCCAAAACGCCAGACTAGCTCTTCTACGAGTATGGCTGCTGGTCAACTTCCCGTCACTTTTCACAAAGCACACCAAGCGCGTGAATTCACCGTACACTGGAGAATAAGAATGACGAAGCAAAAGCATCCAATCTCGCTGCTGCCCTTGCTCGCTTTTGTCTGTTTGATGCGTCCGTGTGAGTGCAATCTTTTCGCTCTCTCGTTGCGTTCGTTTGCAGCGTCGCCTTGCAAAAGGCCTTTTGCGGTGGTGCGTGCGTACGAGCGTATTGATGACAAAATTGTACTAATTCTTCGGCACTTAAAGCTAATGTTTCTCTGTTTTGATAATTTAACTGAACAAGTGCAAGAAATAAGCAGAATTTGTTTACATCGTAACAGAAGCTCAAGAAAGCCTCCTGACGACATGCACATCATGCAATGGTATCATTTAGATATTTATTGCTCTAAAAACTATTCTGGAGTTACAATATTGAAGGTCTTCAGACTATCAATGAAATCTTGATCAATGCCCTGATAATCTGTATGAGTCCTTCAGGCTCAAGAGAGCCTCTTGACAATATGCACATCATCGAATGATATAAATAAGATATTTAATGCTTTTCAAACCATTCTAGCGTCTAGATCTTGAAATTCTACAGTCCCAATTGAGTTTTAAACAATACCCTGAAAATCTGTATGAGTATGTTGACTTCTAGAGATCTTTTCTACGCAGTCGCTTTAAAACATTTGTGTCACTTCTGATTTCTCTAGGGAAGAGATTTGAACATGTGACTTTTTTTTTTTTCCTCTGTTCGGGACCTAACACTACTGCGACCAGTAAATTGATCTATTGTAGTATATCCCGTGTCCTTAGTAACATGTGATTTAGGCGTGAGAGATATGGGTATGAACCACTATGCCGGAGATGTCCCCGATACGATATTTAATGATCTCCAAATTAGTATAGGGACAAGTTGTTGAAGTTCTACAGACACAAGTTCAATCGAGTCTTTTGACAACATAAACATCATGATGTAGTATCAATAAGATATTTGATTCTCTCCAAACTATTCTGGAGTCAAGATTTTGCTGAACATGTCAAGATCAATCCTAAAAATCTTCATGAATAGAAAAATCACAAGAGATGATAACACTGTTTTTCTGAATTTCGAAATCATTAGATGCTTTTTTTTATTTTTTATTATTAATTTATTTGATAAGGCTCAACCGAATTAACTTGAGCCGATGAATCTTGGTCACTATACAATACATCTTAAAAATATAGTCAAAAGGTACAACACAATAAACACTTTATCTTCCGCTATCCAAAAAGCCTCCTCCATCAGAACTGGAGCCGCTTCCAGTAGTTTCATTGTATGGCAAATTGTTGTACGCCAACGAGGGTCAGAGCGCGTCCATTGCAGCAATGGACGCAAAACGTGGTCAGCACTCACACACTCATCACGAAACGGTTGCTTTCCAAAGTCGACGACGCATCGACCGAAAGAACTGCTGATGAAGAACAATGAGGAGGACCACACAATGGTTGCTGCCGAGAAAACAGACGATCGCGTAGCACACATCGAGAGTGACCTGCTTTTGTCGACAGCCGAGTGAACACTGACATTAGATGTTGTGATGATGTGTTTTACTTGTAAGTGTTTGACACATAAAATCTATCAATTTTGCATTTAGAGCGACAGTGTTAATTGTTTCGCTAACATTTCTACAACCTTAGACGACAGTCAACACCTCACGAAACTCTTGATTACCACGTCAATCATTCCTAACAGCGAAAAGCACAATCATCAACCGAAACTGATAACGCTAAACTAGATACTATGAAAAGCAAACCTCCCTTGAAGATTGCTTTTTGAGCAGCCTCATATTCCAATCTGAGCGACCCTTGTTCACAATGGGCCCGCAGAAGCAATTCTTTCGACATGACAATACAAAATAAACAAACTCATTCTCGACGATCCGACAGCCGTTTCCGCATTCCGGGCCAATAATATATTCCACCAAGATGAACAGTTCATAAAGCAGAAATAAGAATATCGAAGAAAGTGAACAGAGAAAACCTTCACGGAAGACTCCCATCGGCATCCACCACCACCGTTTCCAATCATTCTAATCAGATATGCGCCTAAACCGATTTCATTCCACAGCCTAAGAATAGATACCCAAAGAAGGTTGCGAAGCGAAAATCTCTGCGTATGGATTGAAGATGCTACACAGTTGCCAGAGCCCGTTGAGTGTGTCAGAAGTGGGGTTTAGACAGCTGCAGGAATGGCACCGATCCTGGGAAAAAAGATTGCCATGCCATTCTACTCTATCGTGGGGATTCATGAGGCAGAAAAGGATAGTAAGATTCAATCCTCTTAAACAATTGTGATTCATTTTCGCTCGTTTAATAGAACCCTTATAATCGTTATCTTCCCATCTTTCGTGCCGCCCTGAGCCAACTAGACGTGTTCTGCTGCATGGTGGCAGTAGCATGTGCGTCAAAGTGGGTGTGTTTCTGTTTGTATGTTTTATGTATGTCGATAGCAATAAAGTTGGTCCAAACGATGGCCCACTTCCGGTCGATCTACCTCCACTGGCTGCTCCTACCACATCTGGTTTGTTCAATAATCTACCAAAGGAACGGTTAAGCTTTCCGAAAACTGGCTCCTCATCGTCAGAAGAGTTGAGATTTTTCTACTATGCTATTGTCTTTAGGCGTGAGCATGTTTGTGTGCGAATGGAAAGGCTTGAAGTATCATCGATGGGTTAACACAGTTCCGTGGAGGCCGTGAGAAGTGGAAAAGCAATATTCTTCCCGGCGAAAAGTTATTATTCACTCTTGTTGGCCTGAGAAGCCCATTTGACGATACGAAGGCACAACACATAATCGATTCCTTTTTCATGAATACATGCTTAAAAGTTGATCCCCTCCTTCATGAGAAGTTTTCACTGAAAAGGGAAAATGGTAACAGTGGGATTTTGAGCGGCTAAATTTTCGATTTTCACATATGGTAAATTATGGCAATATGTTTACCAATTATTGTCCGGGGGTGAATAAGGTTCTTGCACGCTCATTTTTTGCATGAGGATCGTAATGTTTCAGAGCATCTAATTATCAATTTTTAGTTTTCATTTTTCATTTTTCTATTATTAATATTAAATTTCCTATTTTCATAAAATTTATACGATTAAACAACCCACAGTGCCTCTATTTGAGCGTAAAACAAAAAACAGGTGCTGCTCTATTTTCACCTTCTGCTGGTAAAGCTCTTTCCCAAGACCCATCCTAGCTCACAATCTGTATTGTCTTAGTCATTTCCCAAGGACCAGGATCCCCAGACCGGCGGCAGAAGTGTTCACTATTGATCCCCATCCTGTCTTTCTTTCCACCTCATCGATAACCTCCTGCCATCTTCCCCCCGAATCAACCACCATTATCCCCCTCGGTTATAAATTATGTTATCGAGCGCACAAAAACCTTACCTTTTATATCGTTTCACTTTGATAATCCTCTATTTAAATCATAATAAATCCACTTAAACGATTATCCGTCCGTCGTCGTGTGTCCCGGTTTCAAGCTGCTGCTGCTGCTGCTACTTTCACGTTCTAGCACCATCAACGACCATCGACGTCGTCAGAGCCGTCGTCGTTGTTCGTGTCGTAGCCAGTTTCACACCCAACAATCGATGTGGCTGGATAGATGGAGATTGTCTCTTTTTCGTGCCGGTTTTCCGGACGGCTTTTAAAGCCGTTGATAGATGGCTAGATTCCGGTACTTCACACTACATACACTGTTGTAGCTATCAACGCACTGGCATGTTCACACGCACATTGGCTCACTTTTCCTTTGAGCCTTGAAAATATCGGAAAATTGAGTTTTCTAGAACACCACGGACGCCAGCATACTGATTGGTTTAGTAGCAAGGTTCAGTCACTCAAGCGAGGAATGGTATTGATGCTCATGGCTTTGAAGGTGTTTTTTTTTTCTATCCTGTGCACGGTTCGGGTACGGTGGCTCGTTGTAAGATCTGGAAGTAGAACAGATAAAAGGATGCTTTAGCATAAGATGAATGCAATTTCATGAATTTTAAGTTTTAATTAAATAAATAGATGAACAGCTGCTCATTTGCGTTGATGAATCTTCAAAGGTTTTGTTAGCCAAACATCAGGTAATTCCGCTACAAACACGGGCCTAGAACATTTCAAATTCATCAGCTTGTTTTTTCTCTACGATCTCCATACTTGGGAAGGTAAAATGTGCTTCCATTCAAAATCATCCGACAAACATTTACCATTTACACAAATATATGAGTTCTTTAGAAACACAAACAAACATTCACAGAGCTTTGGAATACCCCGTCCGAGATCCGTCCATCAATTTGCATGCGAAACACAAACAGAATTAAACTCAATTCACTAATGGATCCGGTGGGAATCTTTCAAATCATCCTCCCGCCTTCCTAAGTTCTACAACTCATTCGCCATTCGCCCGGATCCCATTCTTGTTTACGTCCCAATTCACGTCAATCACCATTACCTCCATCGAATGGAGATATTCCCTATTCCGACCACTACTTGTCATTTTGCATTGGAAAACGAAAATGGAACTCTATTCATCGGGACGTGCAGAAAAGGGAAAAGAGGTGCTAAATTTTTAATTAATTTTACTCGCTTCACCCGAACTGGGCACAACTTCCATTCAGAGAGTGAAATTCGTGACGGGAAAAAAGGGTCAACCATCCACCGCCATACCTCCAGCAATGGCCATATATCCAAACGTGCGCAATATAAATAATCATAAACTCCCACACCTTGACGCTCCTAGCGGCCGCTGACCGAACCGGACCTGCAGATGGCTCTCTTGTGTTTGACCTCGTCAGCCGACCAGACGTGATTCTTTTTCCCTGGTTTCGGTCGGAAGGACAATTAAAGGATGGAAGTTTGGCAGAGTTGTGTTGTGCCGAGCATGCTTTGGGGGAAATTGATTAAGTCATAAATCAAAACGCACGGTTCGAGCATCACTGTAAGGAGTGGGATGAGTTTTACCCAAACTAAAAGGAAAATGCTGCTGCCTGTCCCCGAGGTGGAGCACAGCCGACGAGTCATGATGGGGAAAAGACCACCGTAGCCGCAGGGTCAAGAGACGAGGGTCATAAGCTACCTTTTCAACCATTCCTAGCAGTGTGGTCAACCACTTGGGCCGCATAATGTTTAAGCAATCTGTCATTTTGCCACCGGATGTGTATGAGGGCGTGTGGTGGCGCGTGACGGGCAAATGGGAAAGTTAGGGCATAAACAGCAAAAAATTATTTTTAATATTACATCCAAGAGGATGTACTTCAATCATGTCGAAAATCTCATGTTATTTTTATGGCCACAAAAATTAAAAAATGCAGTGAAAGCAGCGTAATGTCAGTTCAATGCACTGTATTAATGATAATTTTGTCTTTTTTGGGAAGTAATACAACACCATATTTTTGACACGATTGAAGTGCATACACGTTGATGTGATTTTAAAAATTATTTTTTTGCTGTGTAGAATACGGGGCGTTCTGCAACACCCCTCAATGGCAAGAGGTTTAATAATGGAGTATATTGCCTATAATCGCATATCAATCCCATATGGATTTAAGCACAAAACAGAAGTGGAACTTCGGATCAGAAAGTGGCTCCACTTTTCATTGGAGAACACTAGCGCACCTAGTGGTAGAAGGCACATTATGCCTGCTGTTAAGATAGGCAGCATGCTATGATGGTGTGAGTGCGCATAGAAAGCCCGTTTGGAACGCTATTACAACACATGGCTAGTTGAGCAGAAAAACGTACCACTTTTTGATTCACCGATTTGTTTGCACTTCCCCTTCTGCTCTGTGATATTAGTCAATTTAGATAAAGCAACGCTATCCACTATCAATTGGCATCTATTTTCATATTAAGGGCTGTTCTTTAATTACGTAGACGGTTTTTTTAAATTCTTGACCCTCTCCCTCCCCCTGCACAGACAATTCAAGCTGAACATTGCATTAGGTCCTAAGCAACAATGACAGATTCTTTTCATCGACTTCCTCTTTGCATCCCCACGGCCATGTTAAGACATTGCCAGATAATTTCAGCACACAGATCGATGAAACAAGCTATTATCTAGCATTTTATACGACAATTACGAAAAAAAAGGTTCAGTACCCAAGTTATTAACGAAAGAGGAAGCCGATGAAGAGAATCGATCAAAGTTACTTAGGAGCTAATGCATTGTTCAGTTTGCATTGTTCATTCAATTTTTTTAATTTGTATGAGCCTTTGAAATTGGGCCCCCCTGAACTGTCGACGTAGTTTATGAACAGCCCCTTATATGATAAAACATCGAACTTTGATCATAAAAATGTGAAAACAACATCAAGATAAGTAATCGTATATCAGTCCCATCCTTAAATACAATCGTCCGGAGATGAAGTTACAGATTTGCTAATGATGGTTTCGACTGGTTGATTGGAATTACTTAATAGGGTGGCTTTCTCAGTGTTTTAGTCTTTTAGTAGAAATGATTTGTTTTTTTTTTCGTTCCCGACGTTTCGACCGTTTGGTTTTGGCCTTTCTCAAGGGTTGTAATGTCTATCGCCTCCCGTTAAAAACTTTTACGCATCGTGAACAGCGTACATGTGGATTTTTCGTGACCTGTTGTTAATTTGTAGAATTTCTATATACATATACACAATCAATTGTTGGAGCAGGTCCGTAATTTTCGTTAAAAATTTAAACGGCGGGGAAATTCAATGTGCACTGTCACTATGCTGAGCATCGACTAACACTCCAGTTGATTCTTCCACCGAACTTTGGGGTTTTCGCCTAACCGTCACTAGGAGTCACTTCTTCTTTTTAAAGGAAACACTCTGCAACCTTGGATTTGGATTTATTCTCTTTAAACTTGGGATACGCTTTACGTCTGTTTTTTTGGACAGCTCGATTTGAAATAATTTATTACAAATAATTAAATTTACTCTAAACCTAATTTGCCACTCTATGAAATAAATATGCAAGCTGGTTGAGAACAAATAATAATAGAGTGATATTTTCCACAGCACTGCACTATTATTTTTTTCACAACAGGTCATAAAAATTCACATGTGCTCTGTTCACGATGCGTAAATGTTTTAAACGGGAAACGATAGACATTACAACCCTTGAGAAAGGCCGAAACGACGGGAACGTAAAAAAGAAATCATTTCTACTAAAAGACTAAAAGACGGAGAAAGCCACCCCATAAAGTAGTTACAGTTTTCACTGATATAACATAACATGCATGCTTCAATGCAACTGATTATAAGTTGAAAAAATATGAATAATTGAACTTTTACTTTTTTAAATATTTACATGGAAATTGCAATTTTCTCAATGCCTACTTTTTCCATATGGGACTGACATGGGTTTATAGGCAGTATACATGACATATCAAAATATTATTCCAGTACATTCTTCTTCTATGGCATTAGGCCAAATGGGTCATTAGCATAAATGAGACATTAAAACCGACATTTAATAGTCATCATATGGCATCAGTAATATTCCGATTAAATACAATAGCGAACCGCTAAGAAGCCAGCAAGCGTATGGTACTTTACGGGTGAACGTCGGTCTCTGTTCCACAATTTAGTGCCAATCACCTTATTTCACTCTTATTCCTCTTCGATCCTTGTTTGGATCCTACCCGAGGTAATGGATTCTTGGATATTGATTTGGAAAATTCCTCTTCGATCCTTCAGGTTCTTATAGTAATCTGCTTGGAAGTCGATTTGGATAAAAAATTTACTGCCGCCATGGCACCTAACCGCAAAAGAAAAGAGCAATCTCTTGATCCCTCTTCTGATAAAATTAATTTGAGCAATCAAATTGATTTGCTGTAATTTGTAATCACGCTTACCACTACACCACCGGCGCCATTAAAAAAATATCTTCTCAGTATTAAATTTTATCCTCTTAGAATATTAATATATAATTAAAAATAATTAAAATTCAATTAAAAAAAGAGATTACAATTCAATCACAAATCATTTGAATAGAATCTTAAATGATTCAACTCTATTCAAACAAGATAACTTTTAATTTAATCAACCATGATTAAGCTAGCATTAGTATCAGATGATTATTTTTAGCCAGATACTATAGATTTTTATTCATTCAACATGATTAAACTTTTCCGTGTTCATGGCAAGTTTTGCTATAATCAATCCTTCTCATGTTTATTCGCAAAATTCACATCACTTGAGTAGGAAATCAATTTGGCAAGGTATTTGTGACACTTTCTGGTTGTATGAAACAGGCCCAAATCTGCCCAAATTCACCCGTGAACTTTGTTGTTTTGGCAAAATAGTGAACTTTTCATTCACATTAACGGCAAATAACTTACCAACACTAACGGATCGTGAGTACTTGACCACCTATACATACTCTCAGCTTGGTCTGGTTCTACCACTACATACTTAGGTGTACCTTAGTACTCAACTACAATCAGCTTAAATTGCGATTAGCGTCTGTTGCCTTATGCGTTGTCCGTAGTGGGTGGCGAAGCTCTGTTCATACGGTATAAGTTTGCTGCCTGTGTCTACTAAGGGGACATCCATAAATTTCGTCACCCATTTAAGATGGGGAGATATGGGGTTTGAAGAAACGTTAACGGCGAATGAAAACGACCCTAATTTGAGTTTAATTCACTCATAATTGCCAAATTTGCAGGAAATCATCGATGAGCAAATTTGTCTCATGGTTTCCTGTGGAAAACCTAAAAAATCTGCCGGAAAATGAGGAAATTGACGAAAATTTTATTCAGTCTCGGAGTAGTACCTCAAATTCGGGAATTTTTCCCTGGAAAATCCTGGAAAAACCTGGGAAAACATGAGGCAAATTTACTCATCGCTGAATTCCTGCACTTTATGTGATATATGAGTTGACTAAACTCAAATTTGGGTCTTTCTCATTCACCTTGTTTCAATTTGTAACATAGGGGACTAAGCTCAAACGTGACATCACATTTTTC